CTCGAAACGGGCATGCTGCAGCTGCTGCTGCGCTCGCCCCAAGACTCTCTCGAGCATACGCTGCACAGTTTCCTCGGCGGTATCACGCGTGATAGTGGCGTGTGCTTCCTCTTGCGCTTGCCCCACGATCCACCGATGACATCCACCGACGTGCGTACACGCCCTCCATACTCTTGAGTTGATAAACCGTATAGCACCATGCGCGCAAGGCGTACGAGCAGCTCGCCCACGCCATCTCTGCCAAGACAGCTGTCGTCATCGACCACGACGACGATGTACAGTACATTACCAAAGCCTTCGTTGTATCTTCCGAGGCCACGGGGGCGTTTGGCGTCGCCATTCCCAATTCGGCGCCCCGGGGCACGTGGAAATTGCTTGTGCAGTCGTGCTGCACGGTGCTCGCTCTCATCTTCCAGTGCGACACCATCCAGAGCGCGTATACTACAGCGCAGCACGAGCACGCTGAGGTGGTGACAGCGCGCAGCCGGGACGCCACCCAGCTGGCCTTTCTCTCAAGCCTTTTGCAATTGGATACGGCGACGCGCCCCGAAATCACGATGGCGGTCGATGCCTTCTTTTGCAGCCACTTTGACGTGCCCCGGGCGACGCTCTTCTGGCCCTGCGAGAATGGGTTGCAGACATGGGTCGCGGACGAGCACCTTTATGTGACGTCCGGCGTGCCACTCGTGTGTGCCATGTCCCACGCGCTCACGTGCGCCTCGCCAGCGCACCCAGCGTACGACCCGACCTTCGATACGCGCGCGGGCATTGAGCCAACGGCCGTCGTGTGTTTTCCACTGACGTCGATCGCGGGCTGCCTTGAAGTCGCCATCGATCACGTACTCTCGGAGATGGAGCTTTGCGTCGAGTTGCTTGAAGCGTGGCTGCCCCGCGCGATAGCTCGCGTCGACAGGAGCACGGAAGCAGCGTCTGAACGGTACGCGCTTTGATGCTGTGATATGATATGCACAGAAGATTAGGACACGGCTACGCGCGCGGTGGGACCGGCATGTGGCGATTTTGGCGCAGATGCGTCATGCGTGGGATGCACTCGAGGTGAACGTGACGTCATCCGCTGATCTCATGCAGCGTGTGCATACCATTGTGCCAGCAGCGAATTTGGCGACCACCGCGGACTTGTTGTTGCTGGCGGATGATGGGCAGCTCTGGACGATGAGCCGAGGAGGTGACCGCGTCGTAGCTGTTTTAAACGAAGAACCGCTGTTGGCGCAAGCGCTAGAGACGAAGACGGCGTCGACGGTACAAACCCTAGTACGCGTGTACGCTTTATCATGATAGTAGGAGACGTCAACCACGGGGGCTTGGCTCTCACCTGTGCTGAGCCGTCTGTATCAACGCGCTGCGACAACACTACTGGTGGTGCCACTTGTTTCAACTAGCACCGTACACGGCCTCGTCGCCTTTGGCCGGCTCGAGCCATTGGACGACGTCACGACACATCTTCTCGAGTCCCTCGCACTCTACATCTCGAGTCTGCTCATGCGCTGTCTCGAGCAAGATGCGTGGTCGGCCCGCGTCGAGAATGCCCAAGCGCTCGCCGTCTGGGCCCACGAGCAGCTGCGCGAGCTCACGACGCACCAAATTGAGACGGAAGTCCACTTGCTGGAGCAACGCCTCGTGGCGGCGCTTGCGACCTGCGCCGTCGACAAGATCTCGACCGCCGTGCTGGCCAAGGTAACCATCTCAGTCTCTTTCACTGATCATTGATGGTGCTTGCGTAGCGCATTGAAGATGCTGTCATCGCCGAGTGCACACCATGGCTCTACTCGCACGCGTACTACCTCGCGCTCGACGCAACGCAATCTGTGCTGACCACCCGCCGCTTGTCGATGGACGTATCAACGACCTCTGGCATTGTGGGTCATGCCTGCAAGAGTGGCAGTGTGGTGACCACGGGCTTGTATGTCGCGAGTCTGGGCCTTGTTACAGGGTTTCCCATCGAGAAGGCGCAGTTGCCGTCCGACGTGAGTTTCGAATGGATGTGCGCATCGCCTGTATTCGACGACCATGGCAGCCTTCATGGCGCTCTCGTCTTCTTGACGGTTCACGCTGCCAAAGGCCAGCGGCATCGAGAGCCGTTCGAACGTCGCGTGCTGCCATCGCTCAAACGCGCGCTCGCACAGCTATACCAGCGCTGGCAACAGTACGTCCATGGATACTCGAGTCAAAAACGAGGTCCTCTGTAGCACGAATGGACTCTACAACCGGCTCGAGCAGCTGCAAGACGCCAATACCGAGTCGAAAGACACGGCAGCGATCACTGCAAGCACCGTCACGACGTATGCCAAGCAGCTCGACTGCGTCACGCAATGTTTGGCCCTGGTCCATACCGTCGTGTCTGCGACTGTGGACGACGCGCCATCGCTTGTGCAGAACGCTGCTCAAAGCCTCTTGGACCTGGGTTATGCACAGTGGCACGACGCGAGTGCGCTTGCCGCTGGCGCTTCCTGTCGGTCGCAGGTCGAAGCGAAGTACGTGGCTGCCGTGTATGCACAGGCGCAGTCGATGATTGAGACGCCGGTCTCCCGCAGCGACGACGACAAGACTGTCCTCTGCGCACCGATCTATAGCACACACGAGCCGCGTCGGCTGCTCGGTATTCTCTACGGCACCCAAGCATCACCGACGACCCATGCCACGGTAATCATTAACTCTAGTGTCTTCGAACCTCTTATTGTCATATTGTACAGGCCCGACGCTGGGTGCTTTTGGCCTGTACGATCGCGTTCAGTGTGCTGGACACGCGTGTGGCATATGCCAGCAAATCGGCGACGCAGGACCGAGCGCTGGTCGAGTACGCGGCGACCGCCACGTCGCTCGAGACGCAGCTGCGCGCGACCCAAGGTGCCATGGCCTTTCTTCAAAACGGCTACGAGTGCATGCACGCGCTGAGTTGCACCGAGAGGCTCTTTGGTGCGGTGCGACAGCTGCTGCCGCGCCTATTGCAGACATCTGGCTCGGTCGTCTTGTACGTGGCCGACCACACCCGGCGGGTGCTGTGGAGTCTCGAGCCAAAAATCGAAGTCGCGTTTGGCGACGGACCGGTCGGGTCGTGCCCCTTTACTGACACACCGTCTGCGTTGGAAGGTCGTCTCGACAATCGACAGAGCCTTCACGACATGTACCTGCCACTGTGGCATCAGGACAAGACGCCGCGCACGCTTCTCGGCGTCTTGGAGGTGCAGTGCCGAGATAGCTTGCCGGCGGCCGACTACCTCGCCTTGCGGCAGCGCGTTCTCGTGGTACTGGAGGAGCTTCATCTGGCGAGTCACATCGACCGCGCCCTCGCACGCATCGCGACGAACGAGGCGCTCGCTCAGCAAACCAAAGCCGCCGACCACTTCCATGCGTCGCAAGCGCTGGACACGGCGAAGAAGCGTCAGCTGGACCTCGCAACAGCTGCAACGTTGGCAGTGAACCGCGTGATGGCGCTCATCCAGCAGTGGCCGACCAAGCGAGATTTCTGGGGGCATGCCCTTGAGAGCGTCGAGGAAAGCTTAGGGCAGCTGCCATGCGCCCACGAAGCGCACGTGTATGTGGTGATTCCGAAAGAAGATCAACTGCAGCGCCGCCGCACCGTCCTAATGCCGAGTCACGACAGCAAAGCGATGGCTTTGGTGCAGCTTCTTCTCGACGAAGACCGCGCCACGGACGGTCTCGCCTTCAAGTATGCAACCGCTTCAATTCAAAAGCGCTAGCTATTGTTGCGTCTAGGCTCGTCAAGCAAAGGCCATTGTCCTCGTCAATGTCGTCGGATTTGGAAGTGGCGATCGCCGACGTCTTTCCAGCGTGGTCGGTGACGCACAGCGAGTCGACGCATGAGTGGTGCTGTCTCCGCGTCAAGCTCACAGAAGACTGCATTGTGCTACTCGTCGTTATCATCGAGCACCCGATCGAGCCGTATCAGTACTGGCCGTGGCTGCGGCTTCTCGGCAGTCTTGTGTGCCAGCTCGTGGCCCACACCCTTGCGATGGAAGCCCTTGGTGAAAAGTACAGTCAGCAAAAAATGCATTTTCTGTCGGATGCGAACGGCGTCGGCATGGACCTGCTTCAGCTGACGCGCGCAACCGAGTCGGCGACGTCACGCGCGGCATTTGCTCAAGTACGTGTCGCATCCGTTATGGTATGTCACGATGTGTCATCTCTCTAGATGGCCGCCGGTCACGTCAAGGTCATGCTTCACGCTGCCCGCGTCGAGTTGCAGTGGCGCACAACCGCAGGTGATGCTGTGTTTTCAGAGATGATGACCATTGAAAGCTGGTGTAGAGGACGCCGAAGTAGCCGCTGCGATCGCTGTCCATGCCACGTTCGTCCGGCGGTCCGAGAAGAGCGTCTCGATCGTCCTTCGGTCTCCAGACGACAATCTGGTTGGTCTGTTGAACATTGACGCCTTTGACGTACGGTGAAGGCAGCTTGTCATGGGCGCTGAGTGACTGACGTAGACGTCGTTGGCCAAGACGACAGGTCTCTGGGACCAGCTGGCGTTTGTGATGGGGCTTGCGTACAAGCAATGGACGCTGCAGCACGCCCTTCAGGATGCCGAACACTCGATTTTGGCCAGAAATGACGCCTGCCAAGCGCTCGAAGCCGCGCAAACCGACGTAACGCGTGCACTGCGCTCCCACACCCTTGTAAAAGGCCTTTTGATGCGGATGGAAACGAACGGTGCGCGTCTAGGACCGCGAGCATGAGACGCGTGTCGTGACCCACGGCTTGCAAGAGCTTCTCAAGCTGCTCCAGGCTGCGCCCAGCGACTGGTCGAGTGACGTACGTACAAACAAAAGGGTTGCAGACGTATGCAATACGAATCGTAGAAACTGTGCAAAGCCATCGGTGCGCTGCCAACGATCCACATGGTTAGTTTGCTTTGTGCCGGCGACGACTACTTGAAGCTTCTCGCGGTTGTGGGCGCTGCAGTACGAGACTGACGTCGTCTCCACTATGATCACAATCAAAAATTTCCCGTAGAGAGGCCCCGCAACGACGTATCCCGGACACCTCGGCGTTGCCGGGCTCGCTCTGCAGTCCGAGTCGCCGGTCGTGCTCGCTGCGAACGAGCTCGCGTCTAGTCCTTACAATGCCGACGTTGACGGCTTTCTCGATGTCGACGTCCCTTACCAAATGCTCGTCAGTGTCGCGGTGAAGCCAGCATCGCTCGATGTCCCGCCAATGGTGCTAGTTGTCCATGCGACCACAGGACCAGGTACATGCGCCGTCTAGTTGCACGCAATGTGTGACAGCAGTTGATAGCTACGTCGGCCACAGCGCCCGTTTGGACACTTATGACGTCGCTGTTGCAAGCCATTCTGCGCCTTGGTGTGGTGCAAAAAGCCACAGACGCCCGCGTCGCAGAGCACATAGAGAAGCACGTTGAAGTCGCCAAAGAACGCGACGCGCTGCTGGACCAAGTCCACGACCTGCAAGGTACTGGCCTCCAAGTTGTTGTACAAAACTGCACTAAAGCGGGGTAGACCACGTGCGCGACCGCGTCCAACTCCTCAACTTTCAGCAGATTTTGCTCTCGCTGCAGCCCGATGCGTTGGCGTCAACGTCGCTTCCCGACCTCTCCATGGTGCCGTAAACAATTGTTGACAATATTGTCGTCGAAGCAATATTGGACATACTAGAGGACAACGCAAGCGCTAACGACAATGGTGCCACAGTCGCTTCTGCAGCTCTACTGGTGCACGCGCGAGCAGTTCTTTTGGGTCGACCCTCTTGATCAGTCGCTCAAGCAAATGCCAGCATCGGCCTTTGTTGATCATGACGTAGCCATATTCTTTTATTTGTACGAGGCTGAACATTGGAGTGAATCTAGACGCAGCGCGCTATTCTCAGTGGCGCCACCGTGCAGACGTACAACAGCGCGACGCTCGAACACAAGCTGCTCGTGTCACTCCAGAGCCAAACGACCAATTACGTGCTCGGCCTGCTTCAAGCGTCGCGCTACGAAGCCGCCTTCTCGGCCTTTGAAGTCGACCTCCTCGCCCAATTTGCCAAGTACGTCTGTTTGTCATCAACCTCGGAACGTCACAAGAACGGAGTCTAGGTTTCTTTCCAGCCATGTTCAGCGGCTCGTCGAATCCGACATGGCCAAGGACGCAGCATCGCGCCGGCAGACGTCACGTCGCCTCTCGACGGTGGCGTCGCGTGCGTCCAGCGTCACACAGCCAAAACGATCCAGTTTCGCGACCACCGACCACCCGCAGTTGGAAGCAGTCTTTCCCGCGGCTCCTGTCACCGTTGACGCCCTTCCTCCTGCCGAATCCTACCTCGAAGGCCTTTTAGGTACTAGTACATTGCTTCGAGCCGTGCTGCATCGTACTGGGTAGGACTCTCCACTCTCGCGCAGCTCTCGGCAGCGGTGACGGGAAGCCTATCAAAGAACCCGCTCTGGGCGGTTGATGGGGTCCATGCTTCGTTTTACACTTCGAATGCAGAAGAAAAGCCAGCACTCGTTGCGTGGTTTGAGGGCCAAGTGCGACTCCAAGCACTCGATACGACCATTCTGTCGGTTCCGTCCGTGCACGACGACGACCGCTGCCGACGCGACGCTGCCCTCTGGAAGAAGCACGCGACCGAGAGCCTCCTCCTCTTTGACGTGCGCGTGCAGAGCGACGTCGCGACTGTCCTTCTCCAGTCTCCGACGCTCAGCTTTTTTGATGACGTCGCTGACGCTGTCGTGCGCGATGAACTTGCCCCCGCTTTGACCAAGGTGTTTGCGGCCGTCCTGTCGACGACCGCACTCGCAACAGCGTCCGCTGCCAAAGAAGCCTTGTACAGCGAAGTGCACACCCAAGTTGACGACCTTGTGGCGAAATGCGCATCTATCTCGGACGAGTCACGGGCCATGCAAGCGTGCCTTGGCTACCTCGCTGAACTGTATGCAGCCGACGACGAGGCGTCGGTGCGCAACACGGCACGGGACCACCTCCAGCTGCTCTTTCCCTTGTACGACGTTGTCATTTCGAGCGAGAAGAACCGCCTACACGCGCGCTGGTGCATGCCATTGGGCCATAATCTCTGCGTGTGGCTCAGTAATGGCAGTGACCCCGCCACAGTGCCGGGGCCGTGGACGCACGCAAACGAGACGATCTGGCTGCAGTATACGACGGCGCTGCGTACCGTGCTCCAGCGTGTGCTCACTGCCAAAGCTGAAAAGGAAGTACAGCTAAAGACACTCCACTCGCTGCAAAAGCGAGAGCGCGACGGTATGCGGGCGCTGCAAGCCGAGCTAGATGCGAGCCAAGACACGATCCAGCAGCTCCAGGCCACGATCGATGACCTTGGCGCCCGTGAGGCTCGGCACCGCGATCTCAAGGCTGCTCAAAAGCAGTCCTATCGACGGGAAAAGGAGCTCGAGCAACAGGTAGGGCGACTAGTGGTCTGTTGAGCCGACTGATATCGATGCTGTGTAGCTCGTACAGCAAGCGATGGAAATCCGCGCTTTGCGAAAAGAAGCGAAGCGCCGCATCGGGTCGAACGTAGCGGCTATGAGCCATGCCCGAATACGCGATCTCGGCCAAGAGCTAAAGGAGCTCGCCACGCTTGAAGCAACCCAAGTCGAGAAGCTCCAGGCATCGACTAGGCGGTCCTTTGAGACCCAAACTTGAAACTACAACATTATTCTTCACATGGTGCTATCCTGCCGGTGTACTATCGTCGGTCTCGGCACGTCGCGCGGTTGCGATCTGCATCTTGACCAACTCGGGAGCTGGGAGGAAGGAGGCTGTGGGCTTGAGACGCGCCGACTGCGGCCGCGTCGGTGGACCCAGCTTGACCGAGGAGCTTCCCGCCTGTCAACCAGGCATAAAGGAAGCCGTGAAGAGGCACTGAAGGTGACACTACCTCGGGCTTGCGAGGTCGTTTCGACGCTGCACTTCGTACGGCATCGCGCTTGGTGCCGGAAATGCGGTCGCCAACGGCTGGCGTACTCACGACAGACGAGCTTCGCACACCAGAGCTCGATTGCAGTCGCGGTGTCGGCTGCAAGCTAAACTGCCGCGTATCCGACGGCTGCAACGGTACCGTTTGGCCTTTGTCCAAGACATAGCAAGGGGCAGTCTCGAGCGGCGACATGGCTTCGATCTCGAGTTTGGTGGTCTCCAGGGCGACGACTGGTTTTCGCAAGCTCTGAAACAGAGCCTGGAGCGACTCGGAGCGCTCCAGCGTGGCGTCGTCCGTCTCTTCCACGGGTTGTTCTTGTCCTGGGCACACCGGTGGCTCTTGACGACTCGTAGTACCCGGTAAGGTTGCGTTGGCATACAGCAACTGGTTGCTCACTGTTGTACAAAATGTGGATGGGCGTAGCCAATATGGGATGTGTACGTACACCCTGGGGGCTGGAGTCGGGGGCCCGCAGCACGTGCCGACTTTGGTCGCGTCCCACACGACACGTTGTCTCTTTTGCTGGGACTTGTCGTCGGGCCCTAACCCCAGTGCTTAGAAGGGGTAGGGTCCAACACGGTACCGTGATTTTGACGCCGTCAAAGCCCAGCGTGCCGCGCGCAATGCGCGTGAGTAGCTTATCGTGTTGTTGTGTGTTTTTTCGAATATGGTCGACTGCATCGTGGAGCTCGACGCGGATCGTCTCCATGCGGTGGACCAGTTGGGCGTGGGCCCCCTAGTGCATTGGTATGTAGATTTTGACGTGGACCCAGTCGTAGAGCTGTACTTTGAGACTCCCAATCGCGTCTTGCACGTGCAGTCGCGTTTGCGCCTACACCCATTTCCGTATATTAGACATCAAATATAAGCGTCGGAGTGTTTTAACCAGTTGGTTGCCCATGCCCATATCGACCTTCTCGCGCTGTTTTGCGCAGTGGGCTGCGTCCGTATGTAAGCGCTGAAGCGCCTCGGACGTGACGCTTGCATTCGTTTCAAGCATCTCCTCGACATGGTCGACGCGGGTCTGAAGTGCGTCTACTTCCGAGCGCACGAGGACCATGGTGGCGGCGACAGCTTCCATCTTGGTTGCAATTGCGTCCTGCTGCGTCTGAAGGACTTGCGTGTGCTATCACAGCCGAGTGGATGACGTTTCTTAATCAAATCCAAGAAATGGTGTACCTCGCGGATGCTTTGGCCAAGGCGCGTTTCGACAAAGTGTTCGAACGCGGTCATTTTCTCGTCGGCTTCGCTCCGCAGCGCGCACTGGAGATAGGCGATTTCGGTCACGAGCTTGTTGGACTGCTGCTTCTCGACAACGTTGAGGCTGCGTTTGAGCAGCTCGACTTCCGATAGGATTGTTGTGGGGACTGATGGTTTGGGCATTGGCGGTGTCGCGTGGAAGGGGTGGTGTTGGTTGAGCAGGGTTGCGCACTTGGTCGTCCAGTGACTTAGCTCGTGGAGCTGTGAGATGACTTCGCCCATGAAACGAGGCATGTCGTAGGGTTGAATGAGCGCCGTGCGCACGACGATCGGGCACCGGTACCCTTCGAGCTGCGCCATGAGCGTCCGAATCAGAAAACACGGCTGGTCTTTTTATAGCAATCATCTTTTGTCAGCTGAACTGCATACATCGCACTAGCACCGTCGTAGTACACAAATCGGTGATGAAGGAGAGGCTTCGTCTTGCTGCGAGGCTTTTGAAAATCTACCGGTACAGCCGAGCAACATGGCTTCAAGACGCTGCAACTACGCATTGGCTTGCTTCCAGAGTCACTTGTGAACCCAGATTGTGCATACCTTGGCTCAGCCATCCCTTGTACTACTAGGCATACATGCGTGTGATGGCTTTCTCCAGTTGTCGACTTTCAATGGATGTTGTGACTTCCCAGTCGTTGTGGCGAGATGAACGTCAACACGGGTGATGAGGTTGGGGTCGTCCAGGTCAGTCGGTTTAGATAAGTACAATTTACACTGAGCTGGTCGTCGCCGCGGCTTTTCGACTCGAAAGGCCACCGACGTGGTAGGTCCATGCATGGTGGGCGGCCCCTAGCATTGGATTGTTGTCTTCTGTCATGCAACAGGGCATTTTTGCGGAGCCGATTTTATCCGGACAGTTCTATCGGATATTCGGCGCGGCAAGCTGCAAGGTGAGCGAGGTGGATTGACATTCGGAGCTCAAAATGAAGTGTCTTGTTTTGTTCGATGTGAAAAGAAGGCTTCACATGGAGTCCAAAAACTCTAGAATGGTGCTCGTAGCGTGCCTACAGCGAGTACTGTGCGCCGTTCAAGTTCGCGGAAGCTGATACATTGATACATTGATACTAGGCTCAATGTATCAGTTCGCACCAACTTGAACGGTGCACAGCACATGCTGTAGGTTTGCTACGAGCATCATTCTGGAGTTTTTGGACTCCTGTGGTGTCTTCTATTCCCATCGAACGAAACTAGAGACTTTATTCCAAGCTCCGAATGTCGATCCACCTCGCTCACCTTGCAGCTTGCCACGCCGAAAATCCGGATACTATAATACTGTCCGGATTTTTCGAAATGCTTTCATCAGCGGCATAAAGGGCCCGTGCGGGGTGAGCTGATAGGAAAAATGCTTATCACCTCATGTATTGTTTCGCGACGGCCACGCGTTGGTCTACACAAAAGTCCGACAGCGCCACTAGCAGACAAATCCGTCTATCAGAGCCACCGATAGACAAATGGACGTTCTACACTGTCTTGATCGCGTCTGCTAACCATCCACGCCCTTGGGAGTACGAGAGGAATCACGACAGTGCCCAACCTCTTGATTCGCTTTCAAAAATACTTTGGAATTACAATGCCCCCAACCTCATTTCCGCGTCCACGACCACGTACGGTTTGTGTGGCGTGCTACTTGTACTACTCCAGCAGCATGTTTTTCGGCGGCCACGGCGAGTGGGCGAAGATCCCAAGCGTCGCACTCCAACCAGATCTCATTTAATGACAAGGCGCTTTGTGGTGTTAACCCGAACAAAGCTATCGAATGCTCCACGGCAGCGTCGACCTTGCCCTCGATGTTGACGTGGTCGGCGCCCATCACGCACACGAACTCGTGGACGGCTCTTTCGGTCAGCAACGGCGTACTCTACGCCATTGACAACACCGCAGCCCTCTGCACCGCCTCCATGAGCGCCCGCTTGCAGATCGATACGAGGTTGAGTATCGATCTGCTAGGACGCTCACGGAGGCATGCACCTATATATATATGCACCTGCGCGCGCACGGTCGACGTCGGAACGGGCCGCCCATCTGCATCAACCACATCGCACGTTGGGATGGATGCGCAGGCGCGTTGGCGTACCTGGCGTCGTCGCGCGTAGGTAGAGCGTCGGCGCTGCGTACGTGGGGCTATACACGACGTGAGTCATGGTCTGGCCGTCACACTCAGCCTCGCCGGTGCTTCTTGAAAGATCTCTTTTGGCGCCGGAAACATCCGAATAACCAACGGCAAGACCGGCACGGTTTTGAGTTTTGAGTTTTGTGCTTGAGTTTCAGTGGCAACGGCGAGACGGCAAGACAAGAATGGACCAAAGCACTGCCCTAGCTGCCACGTCGGCGCTTGCTATATCAACCCGTGTGTGCTATGGATGCCTCGCTGCCTAGGTAGCGTATATTAAAACGACCCTGCGCGGCGTGCTTGCCACGTTGAAGTTGACCGTTGGCACTTTTGAGTCTTGAGTTTGAGTCGGGTTGAAATTTTGCAATGCAGTTGGCAAATCCCAATTTGCCTCGTCCAGCTCAAGCACCGAAGAAGCACAAGATGACCGAGACCTCGTTCCTGGCCATGAGCCCCGACGTCCTCGTCCGCCTCGTCCAGTGCATGGCCTCGCCCGCCGACGTCACTGCTCTTCTACGGGCACTCCCGCTTCATGCGCTCCCGGCGCCGCTCGCAGCGCTCCGCGAGCTCCTAGCGCGGCAATGCGAGCAGCACCCGCTTTGGCCGCAGCCCTGCCTCGACGACAGTATGGACGCAGCCATGATGGATCTCGTGCTGGCCGCGATGCCATCCTTCACGACGATCCGGGTCGGCAACCTCGTCGCGCTCCAGCAGCATCTCGCGACGCGTTCTGGGCCGACCATGAACCTTCTCGGGTTTGCAGCGCAGTGGGGACACAAGGTCGCATCCGTCACGGTGCTGAGCGAAGAGCTTGGTGGCGGAACAGACGTGCTCGGCAGCGTGCTCGAGTTGTGCACGGGCCTCCACCACGTTGAAGTGCAACCCCGCGATAAGCCAGAGCGAATCATTCGCGCGATCACGACGCGCGCGCACCACGTCCGCCGACTCGATTTGTTTGCGGACGACGGCGACTGCTTTGACGTTGACGACGGCGTCGCGCTTCTTGGGCCGTGGCTGCGAACGGGGTATGCGACCCATTTGTCGCTGTGGCGATTCGAGACGGAGGACAATGACATGTTGGCGGCCGCGCTGGCGGCGACACCGACGCTCCAAAGCCTCGAATTTGTCCTTGCCGACGGAGTCATCAGCAGCCTCACCTCTGGACCTCGACTCACGCGCCCGTTGACGCGTCTCCGCGTTCGAACGTCGTCGATCGAAGGACTGCGCCAGCTTCTGCACCGTCTCGACCTCTCTGTGATGACGCACCTCGACCTTGAAGTGTTTGCGTTTGGCGACAGCAGCTTTCTCGCAGCGGTGCTGCCACGACTGCCGCGTCTCGAAGAGATCTCGCTCGTGTGCACGAGCCTCGCCGACACGTCTGCCGTCAAGCAGGCAGCGGGTCCGTCGTCCTTGCGGGTCGTGACGCTCAACGTCTTTGAGGCGTCGTCTGGCACACGCCTTGCGCTGCTCGACTGGATCAGCACGTCGCGCTGCCTCGAGTCGGTCACGTGGGGCTTCTGGTCGTCGTTTAGCGGCCGTGAGATGGGCCGCGTCGGAGGCGCGTTCCGGCGCTGGATCGAAGCCGGCGTCCATTTTGTGCGTTTTACGCAAGCCGAGGGCAACGACCTCTGCATGCGCGAGCTCGCGACGGCGCTCACTGTCGCGACGCCTCGGTTGCCGCTGCGATTCGAGCTTGCCGACCAACGACTCGAGGATGTCGCGGCATTGGACGGTCTCTTCAAGGCCGTCGCGATGCGCCCTGGCGTGACCGTGTCCATGCCGTTTGGTGGTGGCCAGAGTCCGCAAGTTCATGGCGCGGTTTTGCACGAGCTTGCGTCGCAGCACGGTCTCGGCCTCGAGCTCAAGGACAATACGTTGGTCGTGTCGAGTCGCATCGCGTAGCAGTTCTTGACCCAGTGACGATCTTGAATCATGCTGCATCTCGTTTTATAAGCTCTGCAATTCAAGCCAAGCTGCGCCACGGTGGTACGCGGTGTAGGTGTCTCAGTAGTATAGCGCTCTGCCTGCGTTGTATTTGGTTGAGCAATATGTATAAAACACTTGATGCTTTGGAAAATTCCCAAAGTATCAAATGTTTTATACATATTGCTGCGTTTTAAACATGGGGTCCACGGAATTCGTGGCATGCACACCGTCGCGGCGCACGTGCTCTGCTCGAGTCGCTTGCTTCCGCGCATCTGCAGCTACCAAAGCGACGCGCTGTCAACCGATGGCCCACTGCGCTGCCGCAGCGTCCGGCTTGCAGCCAGCTACGGCTACGAGCCGCAAGCCGACGACGACGACGACGCAGCGGACGCGGCGACCTTCCAGCGCTGGCTTGCGCGCCATGGCACCGCCGCGCTTCCATTGCTCTGCGCGCCGCATCTCTTTGCGTACGCGCTTCGTTGTGGCGACGTTCATGTTCTTCAGTGGCTCGTCAACCGCGAGGCTGTGTTCTGGAACAAGACAACGCTCGTTCTCCATGCAGTCGGGTGTCGCGCGTGCCCTTGCGCCTCCGAGCAGCTCGGGCCCGCAATGACCATCCGCGCCTCCGACTGCGTGCGTCGTGCTGCGACAAAGGGCCATGTAGAGCTCTTACGCTTCCTCTTTGACTGCGGCTTTGACATGGTCGACGTCTGGCGCGCCGTCTGTTTTGGTGGGCATCTCGACGTCGCCCGCTTTGTCGTTGAGCATCGTCTTGGCGTTTGGCCCGACGCACTTGTCAACGATGCTGCTGAGAACGGTCATTTCGAGCTCGTGCGATACTTCAACACGCTGCGTGTCGATGGCGTGAACTCGTACACACTTGCGCTGGCCGTCCGGCACGGCGACCTACCGACAGTGCAAGCGCTCCTCACACACCCACATCTCAAAGATCTTTCTTTCAAGACAGCTCTGTATGACGCCATATACCACCGCCGCCTGGAGCTTCTTCAATGGCTCTGCCAGCAGCCCAATGCGCGTCCCTTTTTGACCGGCGCCTTGGAAGTCGCCGCGTACTGCTGTGCGCAAGCTGCTGTCCAGTGCCTCCGCGACGAGCTCTCCAAGGTCCTGCGCCATCAGCGCATCACGTCCGTCCTCGTGTCCAAGGAGCTTCTCGGTCTCGTCACATCGTACCAACCCGGCTTTGATACGCACACCATTGGTCTTCTCGAGCTCTGTCACCGCCATGCGATCTACGAGACGCCGCATCAAGTACCCGGGATGGCTTCGTACGCAGCGTACCATGCACTGTTTACGGCGTGGCGGGCTCGACACGACAAGCATGATTTGCACATTCTCTGCCTCCCGCATCTCTTCGCCTACGCCATTTCCTACGGTAACATGGAGGTCGTGCGCTGGCTAAGCCCGCGCCTTGTCATAAGTCAACGGCTCGAGCTTCGCTGCGAGAAGGCGCATCAGTGCGTCCTCTCGGCGAATCAGCTTGTCCGAGACGCGGTGGTCTACGCCGATTGCGTCGCCCACGCCGCCGAGTCGGGGCATGTCGAGCTCCTACGGTTCTTGAACGGCCTCGGCTTTACGATGGAAAAAGTGTGGCATCGGTGCAGCTACTTTGGCCACGCGAACATTGCCCAGTACGCGCATGCGCTCGAACTGGACGGACACCTGCCCCGGTACGTCTACGACGCCACGTTGGGCGGCCATGTCGCTCTCGTGCAGTTCTACCACGAGCACAACTACGCTGGTTTTACCGAAAAGACAATCTGGGCCGCTGTACACAGTGGTCGCGTCGACATGGTCGCCTTCATCTTGAGACACCGCGACGAAGCCAGTGTTCGCGAGGCCCTCTTGACGGCGGTCGAGACCGATCGCGTCGATATTCTCAAGTGGCTCTGCGATGAGCCCGATGCAAATGGGATGCTCGACACGGCACTGCAGCAGGCCTGCCTCATGCGAAACCATGCGTGCATCGCGTACCTCGTCGACGAGCGGCGCATCACAGCGTCTCGTACGACAACTCGGCTCTACCAACGCTATGTACAACGCCCGACATGAAGCTTTACGGCTGTCGCATTGGAGCATTCTTGGAAGGAATGCATGGCGACGACGTCATTGTCACCTAGTCGATAGATAAGAATATATAAACGAGTGTGTAGACGTGTACAATATGTCTTTTAGTCGTTATTTATCTTTACAAATTCGGTTATGAGAAAATGCAAGCGCAGTGGCCGATCGAGGATCGAACCCTGTCCCAGTGCCAAATCTATTTTTAGTACATGTGTGTGTTTTATGTGGTAAATATACTACACACAATTTACACAGCATGTGTGAAATCCACGCCGCAATGCGTCCTGAACAATCGGTTCGAGTCGCAGCCTGGTATTACGCATTAGGGTAGCCTAGAAGCATCAGTGTAGCAAGGTGCAGCTCTTGCGGTATCATGTTTCTCATGCTTCCAGTTGTACCGGTTTCGTCGGTCTCGCTCCGCATGTATTTCTCACGGGGCGTAAAAACACGTATTTTACACTCGGGGTCCGGTCCGATTTCCGGACCGGCAGCATCTTCTTCGCCGGCCAGAATGGTCGACCCGACGAGCATGGGCATCATTGGCGTTGCCGAGGAAGACGAGATCCGCGGGCTCTTCATGAACGCCCACCTGAGCGACGTGCTCCTCCTCTTCCCTCCGTCGGGCGGCGCCGACGCGGCCATGAGTGTGCCTGCCCACCGGCTCTTGCTGTCGCTGCGCTCGGGCGCCTTTCGCACAGCCTTCCTCGATAGCTCGACGAGCATCACCAACATCGCGACCGGCTCCAAGCGTCTTCGTCTCCCGCTCAAGATCGTCGTCCAAGACACCTCGTACGCCATCTTCAAGGAGCTCCTGCGCTATCTCTACACGGGCAAGATCCAGGCCACGCCATCATCGGACAGCTTTTGGCTCGACTTGCTCCAAGCCGCTGCTCGGTACAGCATAATGCTTGCAAACCACCTGCTCATGCGGTCAGTAGGTATGACGTTCCGCGGTTATGCATCTTGTGCATCGAGGCCGAGGCGCCCAACCACAAGTTGCACCTCATGGAGATCCTCAACATGGTCGACTCGGACGTCTTTCATGTCATGGACAGCGCCAGCCCGGTGCGTTGCGCCATGCGTCGCCTTGTCGATGAGTGCATGCGCACGATCATGACGATGCCGGACGCCGAGATGCAACAGTACGCGATCAACGTCTCCTTCCTGCATCATTCGCTGCGTAGGCTGCTGCAGCTCGCGCAATGCTCCACCGAGCGCCTTCTCTCCATCTACCGGCAACGCACCAGCGTGCCTCTCGTCCTTGCGATTCAACACCAAAACCTCCGCGTTGTCGACGCGCTCTTGGTTCACTGAGCGCTCCAATATCTTGTCTCATACTCTGTCTAGTCGGATGAGAACGACATGACCGCGCTGCTCGCACAGGCGAACGACGCTGGTGTGCTCCCGCTGGTGGCCGCGCTCCAGACGCAGAACGAAGCCATCCTCCGACGCGTGCTTGTGCTCCCGACGCTCGACCACATTCTCATGGAGAACAGCATCCAGGGCTGGTTCCTCATGGCCTGCGCAAGCGGGAACCGCCTGCACTGCGAACTGCTCGTGCGCGACCACGGCGCCGACGTCAACCTCATATCGACGCTCGCCGATACGCATGCGTTTGGGCGGCAGCAGACGCCGTTGCACATTGCGAGGTATTTGTGGGCTCTCTCGGTGCTTGCTGAGCAAATAATGCTATTAGTCACTTTGGCCATGTGGACATTGTGGCGTATTTATTAAGCTGCAACGCCGTCCCCAACTTTCAAGATTGCGACGGCAACACGCCGCTGCACGTTGCGAGCACCGTCGTACGTCGTGTATCTGCACTCTTGTCAATGCTCACCGTGGTGAAGGCGGTCGCCGAGGCGCTTGCCGACAAGTGCAACCCCAACATCCCCAACATGCGTGGTCAAGTGCCCATGCACGTCGCTGCGAGCCGGTACCTTGTGTCTCTTACGGCGACGTTGAGTGAATGATAGCGGCGACATTGGTATCGTGAGTCTTCTCTTCCAACAAGGCGCCGACCTCGATGTCCTCGACGACCAGGGCCAGGTACTTTAGCTGCTTGCGATTTAGCTCAACCCTGCGTAGACGCCTTTTCATATGGCGGCCGCCCACGGCCATGCGCCCGTGGTTCTTATTCTGCTCAAGCTCACGGAAGATCGCGCGAGCGCAGTCAGTGCGAGTCCCGACAGCATGGACGCGATGCCTGGTCCATCGTTTGACATCAACGCCGTCGACTACAAGAGTGCGTGGAGGATGTGCTTAGGAGACGGAGCTGACGACGGTATGCAGGCAACACGGCGCTCAACTTGGCCGCGATGGCGCCAAAAGACCGATGCGAGAAGATTCTTCAAGTGCTCTTGGAGAACGGAAGCGACCCGAACATACCCAACTGGTTTGGTATGCACACGCCGACGACAACGATTATTGGTCAACGCGTGACGTAGGCTACACGCCGCTGCATACGTTCTGCGCGCACCACACGGGGCCCGTCTCTGTCCTTGATATGTTTGTACGACCTCCTTTCCGACACTGCCGAAGCCTCTCATGCGACGCACGTAGCGGGAACATGGCGCCGACATTCAAGTGCAGAGTCTGGACGGAAGCACGCCGTTGCACTTGGCCGTGGGGACAGCCAGTGAGGCGATCGCAGTCGCTCTAGTGCGAGCGGGAGCGCCGGTTTACGTCCAGGACCTCGTCGGTACGCACTCATTACGAGGTGGATTTGCATAAAAATGGATGTACCGTAGGCCGGAGCGTCGTCAACCTCGCCGAGAGCACGTCCCAAGGCGTCATGGTGGTCCCGATCCTCAAGAACGTCAACGTGCCGCCGCCGTGGGTGGCCGACGACACGGTCGTCGAGTGCATGTCGTGCAGCCAGTCGTTTGGCATGGCCATGCGCAAGCACCATTGCCGCCACTGCGGGCGCGTGATCTGCTACCGGTGCTCGTCCAACCGGATTCCGTTGCCCAAGTTTAACCAGCCGTCGGCCGCGCGCGTCTGCGATGTGTGTTTTGACGTGCTCTCGTTCCGGAAGCTCATGTAATAGCCTCGTTTGGGTTGTCATGTGACGCGACCTGTGACGAGCACTGCAGTTTGGCTACTTATTCGGCAGCTGCCGACCAGACGCATTAGGCACTTCAACGTCCCACTCTCTCGCTTCGTCCCACTTCCTCGGGCTTGCGTTTGTTGGCGTTGTCTATGGTCGTAGGGATTGCAGCGCAGTTCGTTGGTGAGGTCGCCTAGTTTGCTGTCAGCGTCGACAGTTTGGATCGCGTGTGCCGTGTTTGGTATCAACTTATCAAGCTTATTCCGGGTCGATTTGAATCACCCGCCACGGTGGTGCAGCCGACGACCGAGGCGGGATGCGGGTATGGGAGGCAAGCCTTGGGTCAAGCCTTGGGTCGTCACGGAACGTGAGCCTGACGGACCAGAGCGACGGACCAGATCCTATTTTGCATGCGATGGGGCCGTAGAAACAACGAGCGGGAGCACACGATACTCGTCAAATTCGAATCTCGAGTTTGCAGTTGGGAATTTGCGGAATGCTGGCAACAACGTGGTGGCGCGCCGCAAGCCAAGGCGATGTCAAGCGTCTGGGTCGTGTGTTGGCCCTCGAGCGTGACGAAGGCTGGGTGCATCGGACGCACTTTGGCTACACGGCGCTGCATCTCTGCGTCTGGGGCGGCCACGTCGCAGCAACGGCGTTTCTCTTGAGCGCTGGCGCCGACCCGAAGGAGCATGTGCACAAGCCCTCGGACGATCACGTGCATGGCATCTCGTCGCTGCACTTGGCGACGCGCGATGGCCACGTCGACGTGGTGCGTCTCCTGTTGGCGTCTGGTGCTGCGACCGACGAGCGCTTCCTTGGTCGCACTCCGCTGCAAGTCGCATCCGAGCACGGGTACTTTGAGATCATCGAGCTGCTCGTGCGCCATGGTGCTGCCATCAACGTTCAGGATACGGTCGTCCTTTGTGTTCGGATTTGTCTTGTCTTACACAGTGTTGCAATAGAACGGCCGCAGCAGCCTGCACAGCGTGGCGGCGTGGGGCTATGCGCGCGTCGCCCGGCTCTTATTAGACCATGGCGCTAGCGTGCACCTCTTTGATGCGGTACCCTACGTCGTCCACGGGTCTAGACATACCTCAGCTTGTTTGATTTGAGTAGAAGGGCACCAGCGCGCTGTTTGCGGCCACAGAGAGCGGCGATGTTGCCACGACGAAGCTCCTTCTCGACACGGGTGCACGCTTGCACAATGTCAAGTCGCCGGTAGGAAGATTGCTGCGATGTTCAATGGCTTAGCCCGTGGTAGATGACATTGCATGGCGTTTTTGCCGACGCACTGGAACGCTGGATCCTTCAATGCAAGGACCATGGCGCACTCCTCGACCTCGTCGGACGACTCAACGATGGTGGTCCACTGGCGGCGCTCTCGGTGCTGGTGCTCAACGGCTTTGTGCTCGAAGCCTTGCGCTTCGTACTTGCTGTCGGGTTGCACCCTACGCACCAGACCACAGTACGTTGTAGGGAAGGATGATGATCCTGATACGGTGCGTAGTTTTTGCGCGCGCTAGCTGCGTGGGCCATGGACCACAACCAGCTAACACTCGTCCAGTTCTGCCACGACTGCGGCGTCGAGTTGTTGATTTGACAAAAAAGAAACGTATTTACATCCATTATGATGTTGCTGGTAGTACACTGTAGTACATAGCCTTCTTACCTACTCATCTACCACAGATTTCACCTCGGAAGGTGGACATTCGACGGCTTCCTTCGGCGCCGTGCTCTTGATTCAGGGCGCGTGAAGTGGGATACAGTCCACTAGCGCGCACGGAATGATGGCCAAGGATTTCAAGGCGCGACGTCCGCTCGGCTTGACTTGAAGTGCGATCAAGAAAGGGTTATCGAGATTCCTCGCGCCATTTTCAACATTTCAGCCAATCACAGGATGGCAGAGAACGAGTTCGTGACAAGCCAAGCAAGCGAGCCCAGACAGCAGGGATGGTCCCAGCGCTTCCGCAACACCTGCTCGAGGCGATTGCGTGCTACATTGAGAGCACCTACGCCGCTCTTCGCAGCGCCCGATGCTGCCTAATGAGCCCATCGGCCCGAACGAGTACCTTGAGATGCTGTTGCCAACGGCCAACGTTGTTTTAAATGATAAACCCACTCGCACAGCTCAGGTTCTGGGAGCCTACTAGTAGGTACTCGACTACATGTAGATCAAGTACTTTCACCATTATTCACCCCTGGGCTCAGCGAGCAACCGGATCTGGAATCAACCGGATGTCCGGATATCATGGCAAGAACAAGAACGACATCAAGCGCAAGTTCAACCATGGTGGACGCGGGTTTGACCCCAACCAAGG